GTAAAGTTTTCATCTAATGAATGTATTCGATTTCTGTAATTGAGAATATATTGTTATACAAGTGTTTTATTCGTTTGTATATACAAAGCGTGAGACGAGTCATACTTAAGGAAGATGAGTTTGTGCTTGTGATTTGATTATGCTCATTCTCTTGACGATGGTATCAGGGCTTGTACCCATGATACATCACTATTATCCGAATCATTGATTTACTAGAATTCAATATACTAATTACTTGCTATGAGATTAGAGTTAGATTGAAATCCCAAACTATTTTCTACTTCAATTCCACCTCAATCTTCTTATTGTTTAATAATTATTTTCAATTAATTTTATAATAAAATCAAAATATTCATCTGATTTGAATTAATTAAGAATTGATTTTTATAATATTTAAACAACTTAGTCTTTTAATCCATGTGGATCGATACCCAAACTAAACCACTATTCTGTTGAATTAAGGCTTTAGTAAGGATTTATTTTTGGTATGGAAACGACCCCTCAGCAGCCACAATAGAAAAACATCCCCCTATGGACGCCTTCCAATGAGGAGTGTCAGGGAAGGTAACAAAGCGAGGTAACATGACTTTAAGCACACAACCAAGGGCAACACTAGGGATTTGAGAACTTAAATAGTTCATATCCCAATTGACCTCATCATCCATAAGTTTATCCACTATATCAGAATTCATAACGTGGCGATTAGGGTATGATGAAGCTAAGGCCTTTTCACCACACCACCAATCATGCCAAATAGAAATGCTAGAACCATCACCAACACACCATTTAATACCTTTCTCGGAATATCTCTAGTTTTGAGAATGCCCCTCCAAATGTGAGGGCTTTCTCTTAGAGGAATAATTAAGTAAATCGCTTTTAGAAAGGTACTTTTCCTTCAGGACTTTAACCCAAAGGCAATCCTCATTGTTCATGATTTTCCAACCCAACTTTGACAAAAGAGCCATATCTTAGAGTTTGTTTGGGAAGTGGATTGGCTTTTTGAATTTTTAGTTATTTTAACTTGGGGCTAACCTCGTTTGTGATAGGCTTTTTGGCATTTTTGACTTTTGTGAAAGAAAAAACGAAATGATTATGGGTTGGATATGATGTTTTTTCTTATTGGGCTAAAAAGCCTATTTTGTCTTTTTATAGCTAAAATAACCTCAAACCCAACCCAACCCAACCCTTTTTCCCAAATGAGTGCATAGGGCTTTGGCTTTTCTTAGGCCAAGCCCTCCCATTTTCTTCCTTTTGCATACAATCTCCCAGTTCACAAGGTGGACTTTCTTACTATTTTTAGTGTCATCCCAAAGAAAATTGCGGTTAAGCTAGGTGAATGGGCCTAAATTGGTTTATAAAGAACATTACAAAAGCTAATGGGCCTAATTTGTTGAATGGATTCAGGGTTGTCCAATTTAGGAATAAGAGTAATCAGGATGTACTTGACATTATTAGGAACACTTTTATTAGAAAAACAAGTCTCAATAAACTTGCACAAAAAAGGGCCAACAATGTCTCAATGAACATGATAAAAAAGAGAATGAATACAAAAGAAAATGAGCAAAATTTGATAGGATTGGAATTTCAACTTCTATTTGATTGAGTTCGGAAATAGAGAAAGAGATGGCCTAAGTGAACCCGAAAAACAAAAAATAGGATTCCATTTTTCCCTCACTTTCTTTTCCCTTGTGTTTTCTATTATAATCAAACAAAAATTGAGATTGCATTTTTTTTTTCTCTTTTTATTATTATTTTTTTATCAAATTTTCCAACCAAACAACCTTAAGAAAACTAATGATGCTTTCTTTGCGGTGTCAACCTAGTGGGGATTGTTAAGGTTTGTTATGATGTTTTCTGCACTTCCCTTCTTTGTTGATATAATTTTGCATGTACTATGCTTTTTTATCAATAAAGTTTTGTTTTGTTGACCAAAAAATAAAAAAAATAAATAAAAAAAAAAAGAAAACTAATGAAATGGACGCGTAGAGGAACTAGCATGATCAAGAAAAGTGTTGTTTTGTATTGGATAGAGGAAGAGTTAGTAGTTAGATTTTTCATTCGTTTTTTCTTGAGCATGGTTAAGAAAAGTATTGTTTAGAATTGGGTAGAGGAAGAGATGTAGTTAGATTTTTTGGAAAATTGTAAAAAAAAAAAAAATCTCATAGACTTTCTTAACAAAATAAATTATGAGCTTTTAATTTTGTTAATTTAAATTCTAAATTTTTTGTTTGTTTTTAATTTAAACCATCAGTTCATTTCTGTTAAGTAAAATTAACAGAAAAATGAATATTTTAGTCATTAAACTCAATAAAAAAATGATATTTTAGACATTTTATATGAACCTATATTGAATTTTATGACTGAGATATCATTTTCGCATTGGTTTTACTCAATAGAAATGAGATGATGGTTTAAATTAAAAATAAATCAAACAATTAGAGTTTAAATTGATCAAATTAAAAACTCAAGATTTATTTTGTTATAAGAGTCAAACTCTTATTTTTATTTTTATTTTTTTTCTAAAGATTTTTCTTTCTTGAAAACAAAATTTATAGGTGCATTTAGTGCAGTATATGAAATTATTTATAATTTTTTTTTGTTTTTCTTTTTATTTTGAAAATGCGTAAAAGTATTTGGTATAACTTATATTTTTATCCATAATCAGATCCATCGTCACAGCCTATGATTTGATTTCCATCTTCCAAAAAAAAAAAAAACACACTTATATTTTAATTTATAAGGAAAAAATAATTTGAATAAATTGAAGGAAAAAAAAAAAAACTACTTGTTAAAAACAAGAAATATGTTCAACGGTTGTTTCCTAATTGTTAACTTCTAACTTGTTAAAAATTGTACTAAAAAGGCTTTTACTTACTGGGATTGGGGACAATGTTGTCACAATATCATGCTGTGAAAACAACCCTTTACTTGAATATAATCTCAAAGTACTAATAAAAATTTGTTTCGCGTTTTCATAAATACTTTATCTCTTGATTTTAATTTTTTAAATGTTTGAGAATAGTGATATAAACAAAGTAATATTTACTAAAATTGTATTTGGTTCATCGATTTGGAGATGAATTTGAAAAGAAAAAGAGAAAAGGTGTATGTTTCGTAAGTGAAATGCAGTTATGTCTTATTCATATTTTACATACTTTTTTGCTTCTCCTTTCTGAATCTCTTCCCAAATTCATGAACCAAATGCAGTCTAAGAGTGAGAGACTACGCTTTCTATCTACTCAGTAAAATATTTGAAAAATAAGTACAGCGAACAAAAAATAAGGTGAACATGTAAAAGAAAAGCTTTAAAGTTAATACCATGATAAACAAAATAATAAATTTATATTGTTTTATTTTTTAATTTGTAAAAAAAATTAATATTTTGGGGCAATAAAAAATAAAATTAAGGATTAATATTTTGAAACCGAGAGAATAATAATTTTATAAATAATTAGGCTTGGTTTGGCATCTACTATATAATCCATCTTTTTATCTTTTTATCTTTTTTTCATCACATCACCTCTTTATTTTTTTGCACATCTTTTCGTAAAAAGACAAAAAGTACACTTTTTTAGGATACCCCAAACCAACCCTTAGTATTTAAAATCTTAATTTAAAAATAATATAATTATAATTTCTTTCGTAAGAATATTATAATAATAAACAGTGAGTGCTTTCCCTTGTCATTCCTTGTGTCCGTAGAATTATTTTATGTCATTCCTTAGGTCATTTCCTTGTGTCCTTGGAATTGCTTTATGGGTTTATTATAGCAAAAATGTTTGGACCCCGTTGGGGATAATTTCCACATTTTTAAAATGATCTTGACCCTCTATATATGTGTGGAGTTCATTTATATATGTATGAAATCTACATTATGAATAGTTCAGATTTGTAAAAAATTTATAGAGGTGGGGTCTCAATAATTGCTCTTATTATAGTTATATCCTTAAATTATTGTTAAATTATCTATTTAATTCATAAACTATTGATTGAATTTATTAAGATTCTGTAGCATATGAATCAAAATCAATTTAATTTCTAAACTATCAATTGAATCTATCAAATTCCCAAAGTAATTAATTCAAATCTATTTAGTCCAAATAATAATTACAAAAATAAACTACAAACTCATAAGTATTATAGATTAATGAAAGATCCTACCTATTTAAAATTTTATTTCAAAAAACTTTTAAATTTTTATTTTGTCTTTGAAAAGTGGACGTCAGTTATTATAGTGAATTTCCTTTAGAGGCATAATGGTAATTCAAAGTATGTTTTTTACTTATCTTCTACTACTTGCCTTTATAATATGTATTTCATTTATAATTTATTATTTTTAAGTTCTTTTCGTAATTTAATTAATATATTATTTTGTTCTATTATTACTTGTAGCACAATATTATTATTTAAATTATCTAATTCTACTTGTTCAATATATCGAATAATCATTATAATTTTATTGGCAAGATTAAGAAATCAAACTCTAATACTAATTTAAATATACAACGATATAAAACACATTTTAAAAAAAAATAAAAAAAGTAAGATTTTTTTGTAATAAAATTTTATTAGGTAGTGCCTTTTATTAATTTAAAATACTTATGGGTTTATATTTTATTTTTTGTAATTTTTTTAATGACTAAATAAGTTTGAATTAAATATTTTAAAATTTTAATATATGTAGAAATTTAAAATATTTTAATTTATATATTTTAAGGATCGAATAAATTCAATTGATAGTTCAAATACGAAATAAATAATTTGACAATTATTTAAAGAAGTAAAAGTATAATAAACCCTTATTTAATTTTATTTTTTTGAACAAACCACAAAACCACCCGCCACCCCGCCGTTTTAGACTTGAAATGAAACAAATAATAAAAAAAAAAGGATAGAAAACAAAAAGAGTCAATAACACAATCAAACGCAACGCAATCAATGACATACAATACAACCCAAGTAATAATGATAGAAAACAAAAAGAGTCAATAACACCACAAAACGCAACGCAATCAATGACATACAATACAACACAAGTAATAGTATCAATAAATAAAAATGTATATATAAATGGCGCACAAGTAATATCTGAGAGGAGAAGCATTGGAGCCATTAACCAAATTCAATTGTCACTTTCTGACAGAGACACGGAGAGAGAACTAGAGAGAGAGAGAATGAGCGGGCAAGGGAAGACAGTGTGCGTGACAGGAGGGTCAGGGTTCATAGCTTCATGGCTGGTTAAGGTGTTGCTCCAACGTGGTTACACTGTCCGTGCCTCTGTTCGCGACCCTTGTCAGTTCTCTCTCTCTCTCTCTCTCTCTCTCTCTCTCTGTTATTTTCAATATTGGGTTATCATCTTTAGTTCTTGTAGTGGTCACTTTTAGTTATCTCCATTTTGTCGAAAATAGATCATTCTAACACTTTCTATGCACCTCAATCTTTCATTTCGATTATACCAGTTTATTGGTACTGGAATTTTTGGCTGCTGCATTATATAACTTTTTGTAAATTCTACTTAATATCCCTATCTTGTACTTTCACTAAAATTTCACTTTGATTCTTTACTTTCAGTTGTAATGATAAATCCCTACACAAGTAAATAATGGATATTTGTGTGACATTGCTTACATGATAGTCATTCATCAATGGTTGTGAATCATTGATTTTTTTCAATCTTTTAGACCTTGGTTATGATCTAAATCAACAGCATAGCAAAAAATCTTACGATGACTCACCTTTGTTAGGTAATTGAGAGACATGGGATGACACACTTAGTGTACGGTGTGGTTTTCCATTGGCTAGGAGTGCCACATAAGCAATGTTTTTTTTTTTTTTTTTCTTTTTTTTTGATCGGCGAAAAAAATCTTTATTGATGACAACATACAAGGTATGGAACAGTACATCAATAAAGAGGAGCTTAGAACTAAGGCAAAGCTCCAAGCGCCAGCTGGTAAGGAACCAACCAACACAGAACAAGAACAATAACAAGAGAAAAACAAATACGGAAATGCCCACTGGTTCAGCAATTGGAGCTTCCACAAACATCTTCCCACAAACAACAGACTTCCCACATCAGGCCAATGAGCTTCCACACTACACATGCCCACTGGTTCAGGGATTCAGCATGCCGTAACGGCACAAAATCTGAGTAATGCACCCAACCAGCCCGACAAAGCAGCTTGGACCAAGCAGCAACACAGCAAAAAAGTAGAACAGATCAGCAACACTTCAAAACATCATTTTATTTACTCATAGTTCAGCAACACACCAATCCAGCAAAACAGTACACAGCAAAACAGCAACATAGTAGAACCTAACAGATCAGCAGCACTTCCGCAAGACAGACAATAAAATCTTCCCACAAACCAACACAGCAATCCAAGAGCTACCCAAAACAGCTACCCAAAGCAACATGTACCATATACAACTGTGTTTGTATACCTGATATAAACAGCCAACAATAGCAGAGTACCCCATAGCAAAATAGTGGCCACCCAGATCAGCATACCCCATAGCCAAGCCGCATGTACCCACTACCCATGCACCAAAGCAGAATACCAAAACACAAACAACACAGAGCTGCAGCCTTACCATCTGCATCCTTCTCAGTCCAACCCAAAACAGATTCAAGACAGATTTTTATCAGCTCAACCTCCTACCACCTGAACCCTTCCAATTTCAGGACAAAACAGAAAGATTGTGTTAATGGGCCAAGATACTCTAGTAATGTTAAATGATACTCTAGTACTATCTAATAATTTTATTGTTCTAAATAATGCGTCATCACCAATCAAGCTTCAAAACCCACCATAGATTGTGTTAATGGGCCTCTCCACTCATTGCTAATTGATTTTGAGTTAGATGTTTTAATATGGTATTAGAGTTGGGATTTGAGTAGTCTCTCGTCTTTTGTGCTTCAAGTCTCTGCCCAAGTCTATTTCTCTCATTCGATCCATCTTTCAATCGGACCTCTCAATCACCTCTATGTGCTACCAGTGTTGCACGTGAGGGGGAGTGTTACTTAATCCCACATTGCCAATCTAAGTCATTGAAGATTGATTAATATAATGTAAAGGTCGCTCCACTCATGCTAATTAGTTTTGAGTTGGTTGTTTTAACAATTGTATCCTAATTGATAGATTGATTGTAGTAAAAATCTTTCATACTTGATTTCAAATAAATCGTCTTTATAAAGTACTGATGAAGTGAAATCGGACTCTTTTTCTGAAATTAAGAGAGAAGCTCAGGTCACAGATGCCCAAGAAATTAAAATTTAGAAGTCAGAATTCTTACTTAAATCGCCTAAGGATTTTTGTTGCAGTTGTCTTGATCTCGTGATTTGGAAGGAGCAACGACCATTCTAAACCCAGGATGTTACAAGGGTTTTGCACCAACTTTATCCCTAATTGAATTGCGTCTGAAACTGAAAACTCTATTACTCTTTTGAAAACTCTATTACTCTTTTGACCTCAACGACTTGGATGACTTTACTAGGAGGCAGACTCTATTAGATAAGTATGGGGCTTAGGTAGATGTGAATTCCCAGACACACACATGCACTATATACACATACGCAAGTCCATGTTTTGTAGTTAGAACTTTTCAGTTGTTCTTCCTTCTGTTTGGAAAATAAAAAATAAAAAAAAATGATAGGGACTAATATGAAAAGGGTAAATTACATAAATAATCCCCAAAGTATGCTATATATTTCATTTTGGTCTCTAACCTTTAATTTGTTTTAATTACAGCCTACACTTCACACGCTGATTCAATGTGGTCCCTTCTTGTAAATGCCATAAACTTCGGACCAAAAATTTTGGAATCATGCTTATATTAGCCTTATATTAAGCACTTAAAAGACATTGAGGAATTTATTTCATTTTTTTGTCTAAATGAATAATAGACATATGAATTTAAAAAAGGATAGCAAAGTTACTTTTAAGAACTAAAATGCATACATAATGAGGAACGTAGTCCTCTCATATGTCGCGACAATAAGTTAATTTTTTGTCCATTGAATTTCATATTTGTCGAGTTAATTCCTAAAATCTTCTGACTATTGCACTTTTAATTTGCCGAGTTAATCTTGAAAATCTCCCTAAAACCTCAATTTTTCTATACTACATGAAACCATAATCTTCTATCCATTATTCGATCAATGTTATTTGGCATATATAGTGCATTCAAAGCTTGATTTAAGCATGATATCAACATTCTGCATTTATAGGAAAGGACTACATGTAATTAATGTGTAAAGTTTAGGGATGTAATTGAAAGAAATTAAAGATTGAGAACCAATAATGAAATAGATAGTATACTTTTGGAACTATTTATGACCATATGCAAAATTAGTATACTATTTGTGATCCTTTAGAAGCTTATAAAACTATAATTTCCCATGAAAATGTATGAATTGATATAAATTTGTTCGAGTAGAATTTAGAGGATTGAATCGAGGTTTGCAATTTAATCTCATGTGTTGGCCATTCGGTCTTGTACTACCTGAAAATGCACCTTTTAATGGATTCTAGTTGAATTACCAGTTTTTCCACATTTATTTAATACTTGGTAATAAAATGCAGCTGATCCAAAGAAGACGGAACACTTACTTGCACTTGATGGAGCTAAGGAGAGACTTCACTTGTTTAAAGGAAATCTACTGGAAGAAGGTTCCTTTGATTCTATGGTTAATGGGTGCGACGGTGTTTTTCATACAGCATCTCCATGTTTTGTTACGACTTCTGATCCACAGGTTCATTTCATATTGTGTTTTTTCCTCTTTTATTTTATTTATTTTTTGTTAAACTGCCATACATCAACACGATACAGTGATAGACTACAAAATGTTGTGGGACAAATCAAAACCTGAACTCATTCAACCTGTTCAACTAACCAATCTAGCAGCTTGTTTGGTTCCAATTTTCAGAAAATAGTTTTCAGAAATTCTATTTTTTTATTTTTTGAATTTTAATGTTTTCAATGAATTTTTTAATATTTTAAGCATTTTTTTTTTAATTTTTAAACACACCTAACATAAACACACTTAAAAAGTATAATATTTGTGAAAAAAATCTTCAAAAAATACATTCAATACAAAAAAATACAAAAAAAAATACAAAAATTTAGTACATTTTCGTATTTTTGTGTATTTATTAATTTTTTAAAATATTTTTTCACAAATATTTTACTATTTAGCTACATCTAAGTAAAGTCCATCTAAAAAAGTAAAAAAAATTACTTAAAATTTAAAAAATATTCACTAAAAACAAAAAAATACGAAAAATAAAAAAACTCAATTTTCAAAAAACTGAATTTGAAATACTGAAACCAAACATGCTAATTGGTTTTCTCCGCAAAAAAATGAAAGATGAAAAAGGAAAAACGGAAAAAGAGAAAAAAAAATTTACTGTTGCCTACAGGGAATATCAAAACCTACGCTCCTCCAATCCGTTGACCAATTGGGGTAACAAAAATATAAAATAAAATCACTCCTGCTTTTTTATATGTTAAACATTAAACTTCAGACTAGCAAAAATGGCTAAATTTATCTCAAACATTGCTCTATGACATAAATAAAGTTGGGAGAATAAGTCAAATATATGTGTAGGTTGGGAAGTAGGCTTCTGCTTGTAGTGATTTTAACCACATTTGAAAAGCGAGCTTTATTTTTGGACACTAACTTTTGGTTCCCATCCTCTCTGCTAACTAGATCAGTTTGTAGATGCCTCCATCTGATGATAGCAACTAGGATATAAGAACCGCTTTATACATACCCATTGCTAAATCAACTCGAGTACCTATTGTCCCAACTAAGAATAGTTCAAAAAATTGGCAAGTAATTGGTTCAATTTAGATATCAGTCCTAACACAGAGTATGGTGGCTTTATGATAAGGTGGGATACGACCATGCACAAGTGATGGCAGATTCTTCAAAACTTGGTTATATACAAAAATTAAAAAATAAAATAAATAAAAAAATTCATTCATTACACAGGCCACATAAATTTTTCTTACGTTGATGCAACAACACATTTGCATGCCTTAGCAACCATAGTCCCTAATATACTTGTTTATTTGGTCATAAATGGTGATGGGTCATTTCAGTCATCTCCTACTTCTTTTTCTTTATTTATTAATTTTTATGACAAGGAATGTCCCCAAGGTAGGGCCACATTGGACTCACATTTGCAGAGTAAATCTGGATACCTGCAATCACCTACAAACCCCAGGTGTTGTTTAAGCCAAGGAGACCCTAGCCAGAGTCGAACCCATGATGTCTAGGTTTACAGTTCATTCCAGGGTCCAACCCCTTTGCTGGTAGGCTACCCGTGTAGGTTGTCCATCACCTATTTGGTTTCTAGACATTCTCAATTGTGATGGTCTTGATTTTTCAAGTGAAGTTTACATCATTATCTACTTTGGCTTTATAAATATCTTTGAGGGAGTGTGGTCTTTTTATTTCAAATTTATCTAGAGTCCTCTTTGCTAGTGGACTCATTCACTTGGTGACAGAAACAAATCTCAAGTATATGATCTATAAGAGCCATCTTCGTAACATTGATGTACATTGGTAGTATTCTTTCGTCTATTTGCTGATAGTAGATTAAAAGCTTTATTATATTTGCTTCATAACACTGATGGTTGATATCATGTAATTATTATTTCAATTGATTTTCATATTGTTTCGTCACCATTTTAGAAAGAATTGATTGATCCAGCATTAAAAGGAACACTAAATGTTCTTGGATCATGCACCAAAAGCCCAACTGTCAAAAGAGTGGTTTTGACATCGTCTATGGCTGCCGTTGAATGCATTGGTAGGCCTCGAACTCCTAATGAGATAACTGATGAGACTTGGTTTTCCGACCCAGAGTTCTGCAAGGAAAATAAGGTACGTATTTGTGCAATTGTTAATCATGTTCTGTTTCTACTTAGCTTTTACATGTATATGAAGGCTCAATCTTTGACTAGTAAAACCTAGGCTACTTGCTCCCCAATCAGTAGAACCAACAATGGATGATGACCATTTTCTTTTTCCTTTCCTTTACGTTTTATTTTATTTGTATGAATGCTTAAGTTACTATGTTAGTGTAATGTTGTCATCTACATATGAATGAGTATTACTTGCATAATTAGTTACTTGTTACTCTCAATAATAATGTTACTTGTTACTCTAAATCTGTTGGGTGGAACCAAATAAAAAGTGTTTGGTTGCCCAAATAGCCTTCTAAAAGCAATTCATGTTTTCCCCCAAAATCCTTCCCAATTTTGAATAATACGGTTTCTAGTGTAATGTGCAAATTGCAATTAACCCTGTTTGGAGTAAAAAAGTCAAAAAGTCACAAAATCAACCAAAAAGTCAAAAGTTCAATCCTAATAGAAAGGATCATATTGTACATATCAATTAATCACCTTTTTCCCCTCACAATTATCTTTTCAACTAAAAAACCTATTCCTGAACATAATAACTTTTTTCACCTCATAAAAAAAGCCAAGTTCCCAAATGGAGCCATAATATAAACATAGAAATATCATCTATTGGGGCCAGAGAATCTCTCTCTCAAATCTTAGATTGGGTTGGGTACTGGTGCACACAAATTTGAATGATCAATCGCTTAGATACATTTACCAAGTAAGGTTCTAATTGAAGTAAAAGAACTTCATATGGACCTTTATTATAATTATTTAAGATGTTTTGGGTCTCTATTACAGTAATTAAAATTTTAAATTTGTCCAGTCATTACAGTAACTTCATCGATTATTTGTCACCACTTTTAGCCATTAATGTATGCATTGCGTACAACCTTGGTTTATAAGATATTAATTTGAAGGGAAATATGGAGGGAAAGTGAAATTGATTCATATAAATTGGAGTCATTGTGATCTAAGAATCTTGCTTCTTGTTATGGAAGCTTAAGAAAAAGACTGACATTGATAAGCAAAGTTGTCTTAGTCTTACCAGAGTTCTGTAAGGATAGACATACAGTGGTTTTTAGCCTGGGATTGATGTAGTTCACTTCATCAGTTTACCATAAAAAATGCAAGGATAGCCTAGTGAAAGTCATGGAAGAAGTACATAAGGTGATTGATGATCTTCTATTATGTAGGGCCAATTATGAAAGCCTTAATCTCTCAATTTGGACCATTTTAATCTGTGTTCGGCTAATTAGGGAATAACACCTCATATGACTTAGAGTTGGAAATAAAAAAAATAAAAATAAAAGTAAAAAAACTCTTAAATAGTCAATTGGATTTATAAGATTTGTAAATGGTCTGTACAGCCCAAACTGGCTTCTTACAGATGGGCAAACTTAAGACACTATACAGAATGCTAAATCCTCGGCTTATCTTTTGATTGTATGGTCCATTGCTCGTAGTTGCACCTGGAAATTTGAACATTGAGATCACTTCTGTCAAGAATTTAAATAGTCCTTGTATTTGATATCTTGCTTGGCCATGTGACCTACGCCAATGAAATTGAAGAAATCCTCTAACCTTTGGCTCTATATAATTTTACTCATTAAACATGTCAGTTTTTGCAGTCTTGTTAATAGATGTTGTAACTGTAAGTTTTCTAAACAAAACTGTATATTAGATTGCATTGATTGAACAAAGAATAAATCATTTATATAGAGTACCACTAATTCATAATCCTACATGAATACATCACTGAGATATATAGAAGTCTAATAGATATAGGACACTTATTCCTAATCCTAGGAGAACACATATTCTCACACCCCCGCTCAAACTCAAGGTGTTTTAGCAGAAAATACTGAGAGTTTGTCAAGAAAAAACCGAAACCGAGCAGTGGTGTGAGTCTTAGTGAAGAAGTCAGCAAGTTGTAGAGCCGAAAAGACAAAAGGAAACGATATAAGGCCAGACTGCAGATGCTGACGGACGAAGTGACAATCAAGTTCAATATGCTTTTTCCATTCATGGAAGACAGTGTTATGAGCAATTTGAATAGCACTTCGGTTGTCACAATAGAGAGAGGTCGGGAAGATTGAGGGACGCCCAACTCGGATAAAAGACTACGAAGCCAGACAATTTCAACAGTAGCATGAGCCATAGCACGATACTCAGCTTCCGCAGTAGAACGGGCAACAACAGTCTGTTTCTTGTTTTTCCAAGAAATTAGGGAATCGCCAAGAAACATACAGAAACCAGAAGTAGATTTACGATCATTAACATCACCAGCCCAATCAGCATTAGCATAAGCCACCAAGTCTAAGGCAAAAGTAGAAGAGAATAGCAAGCCCTGAAAGATGGTACTGCGAAGATAGGGAAAAATCCGAAGCAAAGCAGTCCAATGTGTAGAGCGAGGGGCAGAAACAAACTGACTAATCACATGGACAACATAGGCAAGATCAAGGCGAGTAACTGTCAGATAGACTAAGCAACCCACAAGCTCGCGATATAACGTAGGATCAGCTAGAGGAACCCCATCAGTAGTGTTGAGCTTTCCATTAAGCTCAATGGGGGTATCAGACAGCTTAGTGTCAATAAGTCTGGCACGATGGATAACCTCGTTAGCATACTTAGTCTGGGACAGAAAGTAACCCTTGGGAGAAGAAGCCACCTCAATGCCAAGAAAATACCACAATGGTCCCAAATCCTTTATTTCAAAGGTGCGGAAAAGATGTTGCTTGGCCTCAGAGATAGCAGAAGAGTCAGAGCCAATGATGATCATATCATCTACATATAGTAAGAGAGCAACAAAACCAGTCGAGGTATGTCTTAGAAATAAAGCAGAGTCGGAAGCAGAAGAATGAAATCCAAGCTCGGTAACAGCAGTCTGAAAGCGATCATACCAAGCATGAGGAGACTGCTTCAGACCATATAGAGCACGCCGAAGACGACAGACGTGGCTAGAGGAATGGTGAAGACCAAGGGGAGGACGCATGTAAACCTCCTCAGTGAGATGGCCATTAAGAAAAGCATTCTTAACATCCATCTGATAAAGAGGCCAAGAACGAATAGCAGCGACAGAAATCAAAGTATGGACAGTAGTCATCTTGGCAACAGGAGCAAATGTCTCCTCATAATCAATACCATACTCCTAGGAGAAACCTTTGGCCACCAGACGAGCTTTGTAGCGCTCAAGAGAACCATCAGAATGAGTCTTGACTTTGTAGACCCATTTGCAACCGACCAGATTCTTACCAGTAGGTAAAGGAACCAACTCCCAAGTACTAGTTTTCTGTAGAGCAAACAACTCATCCTCCATAGCTTGATCCCAATGAGGATCCTGACAGGCCTCCTTGTAAGACTGAGGTTCTACAAAAGAGTGAATAGCAGACAAAAAGGTACGATAGGAAACAGAAAAACAAGTATTAGACCAACCCAACCTTTTTGAAGGATGATGCGCTCGAGGAGGATATCGGTGTGTAGTAGGATCAGAGTCGTCAGAAGCAGGAGGATCAGCAGCAGGGGTAGAGACATCTAGTAGATAAGGAGCCTTGCGACGAGAATAAACTAACAACGGAGGAGAAGAAGGAGGAGAAGACGAAGGAAGAGAAGTAGTTAGAGGTGAAGCAGGAGGAGAAGATGGAATAAGCTCAGGAAGAACTGTGGAGATGTACTCATCAGATAGGACCTTAGAAGGAAATGGATTAATATGAACCAAATCCTCTTTGGAAACTGGGACGGTAAAAGGAGGAAGCTGAAAGTAAGATAGACGTTCGAGAAAAGCAACATGGCGGGAGACATAAAGGCGACGAGAAATAGGGTCATAACAGCGATAACCTTTCTGAGTGAAACTATATCCCAAAAAAAACACATAGGACAGACCGAGCACTAAGTTTAGTCCTATCTTTACGGGGTAAAAGGACAAAACAAGCAGACCCAAATACACGAAGGAGAGAGTAATTAGGAGGTTGAGAAAACAGAGTCTCTTAAGGAGACCGACTAGAAAGAAGAGGGATAGGCATACGGTTGAGAAGAAAAGCAGTAGTAAGAACTGCCTCACCCCAAAACAGAGCCGGAACGGAGACAGAGAGAAAGAGAGACCTAGCTGTCTGAAGGAGATGATGATGTTTACGCTTAGCTCGACCGTTTTGAGCAGGTGTATCAGTACAAGAAGTTTGGTGAATAGTACCCAATTTGGCCAAGTATTCACAGAATTCAGTTTTAAAGTATTCCCTACCCAAGTCAGACCGCAACAATTTAATAGTAGACCCAAACTGTGTAGTGACCATAGACTGGAAAGTACGATATATCTGGTAGAAGTCAAATTTATGGGTCATAAGATAAACCCAAGTGTAGCGGGTGCAGTCATCAATAAAAGACACATAATATGCAGAGCCCCCTTTAGTAAAAATAGGAGAGGGTCCCCAGACATCAGTATGTACAAGAGAAAAAGGAGAAACAGAAATAGAGGTACTTTTATTAAATGGTAAGGCTGACATTTTAGCAAGTTTACACCCCCGACATTCATCAATTTGACTGGGAGAAACTTTACCCAACAACCCTGACTGAGCTAAAGACCGTAAGCAGTCAACAGACAAATAACCGAGACAAGAATGCCATAAGTAAAACTGACTCGACTGAGAATTTAACTGAAAGGAGGAAAGTGCAGCTGGAGAGGTGGATAAGGGAAGATGTAAGCTTTCGATCACATAGAGGTCTCCAATTCTACGGCCGATCCCAATCTGCTTCTTGGACACCCGATCCTGCACACAACAGACAGAAGAGGAAAAGATAACATCAAAACCAGACGCATCAAGTTGACTGATAGATAATAAACTAACAGATAACTGAGGAACATAAAACACAGAAGGAATAGTAATAGCAAACATGGCAGAGGGTAAGACAGACCCAACAGATAGAACGGATATACCAAATCCATTAGCAGTATTAATAGTAATAGGAACGGGTGGGGGATTACAATTTTGAAGTAAGGAAATGTGAGGAGTCATATGATGAGAAGCACCATAATCAAAAATCCAGACAGAAAAAAGGATACCGAAAGAGGACCCAAGCAAACCTTAATGAAGAGAGGTAAGAGCGGAGGCAGATGGGGCTGACTGAAATGTGGATAGGATATGCTGAAGTTGTGCAACCTGAGTACTCAGGGAAGCCAAGTCAGGATCGGAAGCCGGAGTAGATGCAGTGTAAGCAGCAGGAGGTCGGAAAGTACCCGAAGTAGGACCAGGCTAACGTCCCTTTTTGGGACAATTGTTCTTCCAATGACCTCTCTGATGGCAAGAAGCACACTCATCTGGCCCTAATGATCCTCTCTTGGGTTTCGCAGTGCCCTGAAGCTGATGAGGAGGAGGGGTCGATAACAAGGGCGGCTTGGCAGGAGCCAAGAACACAGAAGGAGGCAAAGTCTGACTGGCCGTCTTAAGACGGGTTTCCTCGGAGAGGAGTTCACGAACAATAGCATCCACATAGGGAAGAGGAGATCGGTGAAGGATGCCACCTTGAATAGCCTCATACTGAGGGGAGAGAGCTGTTGAGAACTGGACTAAACGACTCTGTTCCCGAAACTCAATATAAGCGTCTAGTATCTTGAGACTAGGTGGTTCCATAAGAGCCAACTGATCCCAGAGACCTGTCATCTCAATATAAAAGTCCTGAATAGTTTGATCTCGTTGACGAGCACTCTGAATAGTTATTTCCAACTCATACCGCTTGGCAAAGTTAGACTGCTGATAAACACCGAGTAAATAATCCCACACTTCCTTGGCAGTACTGTACTTGAAAAACATCATTCCGATACGGTCATCCGCAGAATTATGAAACCAAGTTAGAACTTGGGCATTATCACAATCCCAAGTGTCACAGGAAGACAGATACCCTTCTACCTTCGAGTCTGATGGACGAGGAGCAGAACCAGAAACACAGCCCCATATTTTTTGACCAAGAAGAAAATTCTTCATGACACTGACCCAATAGGCATAATTGCCACCAGTGAGTTTACATTTGATGGCTTGGATTTTAGTATCCGACATTGTAATAAAACAGAATTTGTAATAAACAGACAAATATGGGGCTTTAGTGCAATAATCCTGAAATAGGGTTTTAAATAGAAAAAGCCAAGATGAAGACAGAGAGAGAGAGAGAGATTGAGACTGAGAAGCGAAGTAGATGGCCGAAGTAGAGAGCCAAAGTAGATGAACCAGAGAGCCGAAGTAGATGGCTGCGAATCGAATCAGACAGAGATCGCGAGGAAGAGGGAGGCCTGCGCGAGACGAACCAGAGAGGACTAGGGTTTCGAACCCTTGCGAGTCTGGAGAGAGAAAAGTCGCGACTCCGAGGGTGACAAACCAGTCGAACTAGAGAGGGCTGATGGTGATGACCCAGACAAACCAGAATGTCACCACTTAGGGCTGATCATGAACCAGAAGAACCAAGGAGAGGTCAAGATCGATGACCCTTTGACCAGCGAACCACAATGGCAACAAGCGAAGCAGCTAGGGTTTCGAACCTAGCTTTGATACCATGTAAGTTTTCTAAACAAAACTGTATATTAGATTGCATTGATTGAACAAAGAATACATCATTTATATAGAGTACCACTAATTCCTAATCCTACATGAATACATCACTGAGATATATAGAAGTCTAATAGATATAGGACACTTATTCCTAATCCTAAGAGAACACATATTCTCACAGTAACTTGTACTAAACCTAGCCAGCATTTTTCACCATATTTTAAATAATAATAATAGTAATCCCGGTTATGGCTGTTCATAATTTGCGTTGCTCCCCCATGGCTTTTTCTGTATTTGCTACCAGCTTTGGTATCAACTTTCAAAAACTCTAGCAGAGGATGCTGCCTGGAAGTTCGCAAAAGAGAAATGTATTGACATGGTTGTAATAAACCCATCAATGGTTATTGGTCCTCTGTTACAACCAACGCTTAATGCAAGTTCTGCTGTTATCTTGGAATTAATAAATGGTGAGTATTTTTTAAATGTTTTAAATGCTTACCATCCTACGTTCTTTGAAATGTTTTTTCCCATTCACTTTGCTTTTCTGTTGTGCAGGTTCACAAACATATCCAAATGTTTCCTATGGATGGATTAATGTTAAAGATGTTGCAAATGCACACATTCAAGCATATGAGATTCCTTCAGCCAGCGGAAGATATTGTTTGGTTGAGAGAGTCGCACACTTCTCTGAAGTTGTGAAAATTCTACATGAGCTTTATCCTTCTTTTCAACTTCCAAAAAAGTAAGCATTCTGTGATTTGTTGTTGACTTTAATTGTACCTTTGTAAAGCAATAATTGCCTTTGGAATTGAAGTTCTATTTCACAAAAAAGAAAAAGAAAAAAAGCATTGCTAAATCTTCTTCTAGAAATGTTATCCATGTTCTTTATATTTTTACCAATTAAATTCAAACTATTTATCATGTCATAAAATATGGGAGTATTAGGACCTCCTCAATCGACATATCTATTCTTTTGTCTTTTGCCAGCATTTTACGTTGGCATCTTGTCTGGTTGCAATTGTTTTTATACTAGTACATGCAGTTCCATCTACATCTACTAAGTCTTTAATGTGTTTTCACATAATTCCTGTTTCTTTTTTGACTATGATGTGATTTACATTTCATGGGACAAATATAATAATATAGTAGATGTGGTGAAGCTTTAATGAGCAAGTAATCCTTGAGAGCAGAGTTATTGTGGGTTTCTATCATTTTAAGTGAGGACATTCAAGCCGAAGATGCTTTGGTGCTCTCAATGATTTTTAAAACATGATGAGCGGCGATAAGACTTGATTAATATTAGCCGCTATTCTCTTCTCTGATTATAACTACTACATTAAAACAAGTGCTTAATTCTTTCTGCTTTTAGAAGACTTGTCCTTTTCATTTGTTGAAACAAGTTTACTGAATAATGGTAAATTAAGGTTCTTAGTCAACTCATTTATCAGGTCTAATAGGTTTGTTTTAGCAAGACTAGCCAAAACTTTGTAGAGCTTTCTGTCACTTCATTTAAATTAGGAATTTTAAAATGTGGCATGTAGTGTTTTTTTGGAGGGAATTGTTCCAAATCATAAGGTTATTGTCATTCTTTACCATTATTTTTTTTTATTATTTATTATTATTAGATTTTTTTTTTCTTTTATTATTGTCATGTTTCATTGATGTATTTCTATAATAATTGCTGATATTCCTTCGAAATGTCATTTTTCCCTTATATTTTTACTTCCGATTGATGAATGTGTCTCTAAAGATTAGTTTCACACATGAAACTTCAATTTGGCCAAATTTTTTTTTTTTTGTTAGAATTGGCTTTTGTTATGAATTATATTTCTAATTAGTTATATCATTGTTTTCTTACCTTTTGTCGACACACTTTACAGGGTTGCGGATGACAAACCATATATTCTATTACACCAAGTATCCAAGGAAAAAGCAAAAACATTGGGCATCGACTTCATTTCCCTCGAGGAGGGCCTCAAGGAAATCGTTGAAAGCTTAATAGAGAAGAATTTTTTTGGGATGTGATCCATTGTAGCTATATGGAAGATTTTGGAAAAACATGTGATGGTGAGCCATAGAGTGTTGACATATTTACTTGTCAATAGAACTAAAATAAAAGAAAAAATAAAATAAAAATTAAATGTTGGTGTGTTGGCTTTTATGATTTTATTTATGTTTGTCATGTGAGTAGCAGTGGGAGGGGAGTTTGCACTCTCTGAATCTCTTTCAGTGTATCTTATTTTCATGTATTTTTAATTTCATGTTTTAATAATATTATCACTTTCCCAATAATTTTTTTTTTAAATGTCTTGTCATGATAATTTTGTGAATGATTTTTAAAAAAATGGTGGTGAGCAATACTTTGTTGTGGTTGGCTGGTATGACTTTTAGAATTGTCTTGTATTAAATTATGGAAAAATGTTATGGTGTTCACCTTTTTAGGGGTGTATATGTATCCACCCTACTAAAAAATATGCAATTTTATCATAAAATTTTGTAATAATAATCACAAAATACATAATTTCGTTATAAATTGACGTAACAAAATGTCTAAAATTTTAAGGTTGATGTTACAAAAGTTTATAACTTAGTTTTGACATTTTTTATTATGTAAATTTGTGATGATATTACATATTTTATAATTGATATTATAAAATGTTGTAATAAAATTATATATTTTATGACAATAGTACATATGTATGTTATCAATCCTAAAACTCTAAGTTGAACCTGCTTTAATTATTAAGATTTGGATGGATACTTCATAAGTTTAACATTACCTTATGCAATAAGTATTTGGATTGTATTTGGATCTTGAAATTGTAGAGAGTTTTTTTCTCTAAAAAGGGTGTTTGGTGTGACTTATTTTCGCCAATTTATAGATTCTAGTTTTAAAGAAACAATTTTGAACTGTTTAGTTAAACTTATTTTAAAGAGTTTCTGATCCTATCAATTTATTTTAATTCAAAAAATCTGATTTTAAGAAACTGTCCATCCCTTACTTCTAATTATTAGCTTCCGCTGTGAGCATATTAAGGTACAATTATACCCCTAGATTTATTTTCTTTTTTATAAAAAAAATAGAAAAAGACCAAAAAGGACTATGGATTATTTTTTATTTTTTTATTTATGAGAAATGTGGACTAGTACTGAATGATAAAAATTAAAAATTAATTCAATTTACAATTAACAAGGGTAAAATGGATATTTACATATCAAAAAGTTATTTCACAACTTATTTATCAAACACTACTCAGTAATCAAAATCTATAATCCAACAATTACACTAAATAGATTAACAACTTCTGATTAAAATTATAATTTATAATCCATTAAACTATAATTTATAATCTATTTTAACGGCCGCTCCAAACACCCCCCAAAGTTTTAGTTCATTCGCTAAACTTGGCACTATTTGGGATATCCTAAGTTCACTTTTTCATCCTTTGTTTGTTTGTTTGTTTGTTTGTTTTTTTTTTTTTTAAAAAAAAAAAAAAAAAAAAAAAAAAAAAAAATAATAAAATAAAATAAAATAAAATAAAAGGTCAAAAAATACTTTTATTTACGTCATTCCAAACAACCCTTATATTTTCAGCCAAAAAAGTGAAGTGGTCAAATCACTAAAAAAGTTGAAAATTAAAAATGCATCAAACAAATGATCTTTTTTAGCATTATTATTATTATTTGGAATTTTTTTTAAGATTCTTGATATTAAGACTTTATAAGATAAATGACATATAATATTTTCATAGTAGTTAAGATCCCTCAACATTTTTACAAAAAAAATTCGAATCAGAGAAATTTCAATTCCGACTTAATGAAATTTCAATTTTTTTCACAGAGAAAAAATTGAAATTTCTCTGACTCGGGACTGAAATTTCTTTGAGTCGGACGAAATTTCTCTGACTAGAATTTTCTCGGTGAAAATGTTGAAAACCTTAGCTAATAAATAAAAAAAAAAATCTTTGATCTCTCAAACTACACAAAATTAAAAAAGAATGTTTCACTAATTTTTCTTTTTTTTGTTTTTTTATTTTTTATTTTTTTTTGTTGTTGTTGTCGTCGTCAATAAACTAGCTTTTAACCAACTCAAAGGATATTGAAATTATATTTATGACTCTAATACTTGGTGAGCCATAAATTAAAGTTATAATATGCAATTATTATCATAACAACAAAAATAAATATAACCGAAAGGAAAGAATGTAGGCTATTCACAAGGTTAAAGGCTTGATCCATGGGCGGGTCCCATATAGGGGTGCATCCATATGCACTTTACAATAAAAATGCGTCTCTATATTACAAAATTTTATAATATCAATTATAAAATGTATAAATTCATTACAAATTAACATAATAAAATATATTATAATTAAGGTACAAACTTTTACAACATCAACTATGAAATTTTAGATATTTCATAACGTCAATTTATGACAAGATTATGAATTTTATAATTAATATTATGAAATTTTATAATAAAATTATATATTTTTGTAGTAAGGTGCATATCATATGCACCCCTAAAGGGGTGCACATCTTAGAATTTTTATTAATTATATTATATATATTTGTGGGCCAGCAACCTTTTTTCGGCAACATTTAAATTGGAACAATTGTTTTGGGATTGACATTTTTTTCTTTTTTTTGTGGTTTCAATTGAAAAGACCAAAAAAATTTAAAAAAAAAAGAAAATTATTAAAAAATCTCATTTGAGAGAGTTTTGGACTGAGGAATCCTTCTTTATTTTTAATACTCATTGTTAGGTTTTTATTCTTGGCAATCCCGTTTGACAAAACTCATTTCAGTTGTACTTGTTTTCGCACTTTTATTTTAGTGAGTCTATGAGTTTATTAGATGTGAATCCAACTCGAATCATGCTTTGCAGAGAAGTTTGTGGTGTTTAATTCTTTCAAGATTGCCACTTCGCTGACAATGACGGAGATCGAGCTGCCCGGTCAGCTCACGGGGGTCTAGGGGGCAGCGCCCCTTGGCGGATCCGGGGCAACACCACGGCGTAGTTGAGGGGCAGTGCCTCCAAAGAAAAATGCAAAAATGCATTAAAAGTTGCCTCCCCGCTCGAGCGTTCATTTCCCCGCTCGAGCAGAGAATGCTGAGTTCTAGAAGTTTGGTGAGTCTGCAAATATATTGTGATCCATGTTTTCACGCTTGAGCGTACATCCTGGTTTTGAGCACATCATATAAAGTCCCCGCTCGAGCGTCAATTCCCACGCTCGAGCGGACCTTGCGATTTCAGATTCTATAAATTCGCATGTTGCTCCAAATCTAGGGTTACGCCTCCAGATCTTCTTCTTAGGTTCTAGGGTTTATATATGGGACTATTTTACTAGCTTTCTTTGATGTTTCATTGAGTATTCAACTCATGGTTTAAAGAGGATACATCAAAGGATTGTTTGTTCATTCTATACAAAAGAGAGAATTGTTCTTCGGTGGATTCTGAAGAATTCGAGCCTGAAGCTTTGGTAGATTCTGGAGTGACTCATCGTCAAGACAATTCGGAGGTGAAGATGGGACTGGAAGAGGCACATAGGGGTTGGTTCAATTCGGGCGTGGATTCGCTAGGTAATTGAGAATATACCTGTGTAATTCCTTTATATTTTCTTAGTGGATTGTTTTGTGGCTGTTGCCCATGGTTTTTTATCACAATTGGAGGTGCTCCAATTTTGATTTTTCTACGTTAAAATCGTTGTGTCCATTTGTCTTGATTGTTTGATTGGGATTGTTTTATTGCTTAAAATTGATACATAATCACAAATCAATATCTAGCGGATTTTTAGATTTTTCACTCTTGGAAGTCCCATTTTTTGGGTAATGTTCACCGTAAGATCCCGTTTGTGTGTGTTTGGGAGTGGATTCTGTGACTTTTTTATCCTTGTTCCTGTGGATAATGTTTTTGGCAAGTATGGTCCCAGTGATTACGTTTGCAATATAGAAAGGATGATGGAGGGGGCAAATCTTCTGTGCCACACAATGGACGGGTATGCACACATTACCACTCAATGACCAACCTGATCACACAAAAAACAACTAAGATTAGCCCTCACCATTCACCTAAACAGACATATTGACACGTCATATAGCAGCACATTACACTACATAAGAGCAAACGTTTGTAGAGTAGCACACACATTACCACATTGCCACAACATTCACGCAAAACATAATACAAACCACTATATTACCATACCTGCCATAAAAACAACACATTGTCACATTGCCACCTTGTCAGGCAGCAACACTAGAAGTACTGTTTCGGTTGATGTCACGCCCTAGATTTACACGGTCCAGCTCAAGTAATAAACCACCCAACGATGAACAGTAGATATGTAGCACTCTAGAATTTTTTTTCTCCGCTCGAGCATAAGAGTTGACGTTCAAGCGGTCTTGTAAGGCACCCAATACTTTTGCATGTCTGTCTGAGATTTTGAGAGTTGGTGATTTACGCTCGAGCGTAGGAGTTGCCGCTCAAGCAGTCTATCTTGTCCATGTCTATTCGCTTGAGCGTAGTGGGACACTTTGTACTTTTGGGACTAGTGTGATTCCTTTTCACATTCTTATTATTATGTTTGGAGCTTCCTTGTTTTATTTTGGGATATTGATCGAAGTGGTAACATAATGGCAAAGTAAGATTGGACCAAAAACTTTGATTCTGATAATTTTCAAATGAACAGCTATCACTCTTTTGCCTTTTTCTCTTTCCACGCTTTGAATTTGGATGTGAGGCTAAACCATTGGAAATCTTGTTTTGGGGGCTTCGATTTAGACACAAGAACGACCTAAAACGAAGTTCGGACAAGAAAGTTATGCCCGTTTGAAGTTTTTGTATTTGTGTTGAAAGTAAGCACGCTCGAGCTTAGGAAGTTGCGCACTAGCGGACTGCGTGAATTCAACATTTTTAAAAGTGCCTTTCTAGATCATTCTCTCCACTTTTCTTTTATCTCTTCCTTCCTCTCATCCTAAATCCAAAAAACCCTAAATTTTTTACCCAAATACCTTCCATTTCTCAAAGATTTGGCCAAGATATCTTACCAAAAAGTGAAGAATACATGAAGATCTCATTTTTCTACTGATTGAATTTTTGGTTTTATGAAGGAATCTCTTGGAGCCTTGCTTTCTTGCCTGATCCTTGAGGTAGGGATTTCTAGTTCTCCTTACTCTCATTTATAGATAGATTTGCGATATTTTCCTTATACAAATACAAAATTTATACTTTTAAGCATATTGTGATAAATCATGAGATTGGAGGTTTAGCGTTTGAAGA